TTGAAAAAGGGAATTTATTTAAAAAAAAACAACCTTATAGCTAACAACATATCATACTTACTGGTGAAATGTTGAATGCTTTCTCCCCTAAGATTGGGAACAAGGCAAAGATGTCTGGTATCACTTCCTTTATGCATCATTATTCTGGAAGTCCTAATCAATGTTATAAGAAAAAAATAAATACAAGGCATAAAGATTGGAAAGAAAAAAGTAAAACTATCATTATTCACAGATAGCATAATTGTTTATGTAGAAAATCTTAAAGAATAGAAAAGACTAATAGAACCAGTAAGTGAATTTAGAGAGCTTATAGGATAAAAGGTCAAAATATAAAAATGAGTTACATGTTTATGTAGTTTCTGTGTAGTAGCAATAAACAATGAGGAAGTAAAATGAATAAAACAAAACTTTATTCATTAACACTAAATGACATAAAATACTTGCTAATGAATTTTGTGAAAAAATGTGCAAAACTACAATAAAAATTGCTGAGAAATTAAAGATACTAAATAAATGGAATGATATCCTATGTTCATAGTTTAGAAAACACAATATTATTAGTGTCAACTTTCCCTTCGAATGATGTATAGGTTCAACATTGTTCTATAAAAATCCCACTAAGTATTTTTTCCAGGAATTGATAAGCTAATTTTAAAATGTACATGAAAATGCAAAGGATCTAGTAGCCAAAACAACCTTATAAAAGAAGAATAAATTTGTAGGACCTAATCTACCTGATGTTAAGATTTATTAAAAAGCTATACTTATCAAGTAACTGTAGTATTGGTAAAAGAATAAATAGACCAATGGAACAGAATAGAGTTCAGAAATTAATCCTATTTTGTCAATTTGACAAAGTTTTCAAGGCAATTCAATGAAGAAAGGAAAGTCTTATCAACAAGTGGTGCTGAAACAACTGGATATCTGTGAGGAACCAATGAACCTGTATCTCCACCTCACAACAAACAAAAATTCATCTGAAATGGATCATAGATCTAAATGTGAAAGTTAAAACTCTAAAGCTTCCAGAAGAAACTATAGGAGGATATCTTCATTATGTTGGGTTAGCAAAGATTTCTTGGTACACAAACTTCGCTAACCATAAGTGAAAAATATTGACATGTTAGACCTCAAACTTTGAAACTTTTACTCTTTGAAAGACACCATTAAGAAAATGAAAAGGGCTGGGCACAGTGGCTCATGCCTATAATCCCAGCACTTTGGGAGGCCAAGGCAGGAGAATGTCTTGAGCCCAGGAGTTGAAGACCAGCCTGGGTAATACAGTAGGATCTTGTCTGTACAAATAAAAAAATTAGTCAGGTGTGATGGTGCACACCTGTGGTCCTAGCTACTCAGGAGGCTGAGGTGGGAGGATCACTTGAGTCCAAGAGGTCGAGGCTGTAGTGATCTGTGATCATGCCACTGCAGTACAGCCTCAGCAACAAAGTGAGACCTCCCCACTTCAACAACAACAACAAAAGAAAATGAAAAGAGAAAATCACAAAAGTAAAAATATTTGCAACACATGTATATGCACAAAGGACTTGTATCCAGGATGCATAAAGAAAGAATTCCTATCAGCCAATAATAAAGTCATACAGTCATTTTTTTAAAAATGGGCTAAAGATTTGAACAGAACTTAAGAAGACATAGTATGACCCATAAACACGTGAAAAGATGTATAACACCCTTAACACCAAGAAAACATAAATCAAAACCACAATGAGATACTATTCACACGTTTTTACCCCTAGAATGATTAAAGTTTCAATGAATATTAATACCAAATGTTGCTAAGGATATGAAACAACTGTCAAGATCATGCACTGCTGGGGAGATTATAAGATAGTGCAACTGCTTTGGAAAACCAGTTTGAGAGTTTCCTAAAAAGTTAGCATATACCTACTGTATGTTCAAACAATCCACCTAGGTGTTTACTCAAGAAAAACGAAAAAAGTATGCCTTAAAAAACTTGTAAAACTTGTATATGAATTCTTATATAGTAGCTTTATTGACAAAAGCCCCTAAATAGAAACATCACAAATATCCCTAGAAAGGAGAATGGAAAAATAAATTGTGGTATGTTTATATAATGGAATACTGCACATACTACCTGTGAATAGATAACTTGTCCAGCCCTATTATTCTATAATTTTATCAGTCCATTTAAAAGTAGGTGTTTTGCTATAATGAGATGCCACTTCACATCCACAAGCATGGTGTTAAAGCAAACTAAATATGGCCTGAGAAGAACTCCGTACTTCTATATTTGAGTCCTAGTGGATGAACTGCAACCTAACTTAATAGGTAGACAAGATTGAAAACCCAACTTATGAGTATGTGTCTGTAACAACAGCTGAGTGTTGGACAATCCCAGCGGCCATACTTCAACCACTCATAGACTGCTGAGTGTTCAAACTGTGTTCAAATAAGGCAAACGCAGAGCTGTAGCCAATCCTGCTGTTTCTGTACCCCACTTCCAATTCCTATACCTCACTTCACTTTTTTTGTCTATACATTTCTTCTGACCACGAGGCACCCCTGGAGTCTCTGAATCTGCTCTGATTCTGGGGAGTGCCCAATTTGTGAATCATTCATTGCTCAATTAAACTCTTTAAACTTAATTTGGCTGAAGTTTTTATTTTAACGATGGCCATGACCAAAAACATAGATAATAAGTATTTTCAAGGATGTGAAGAAATTGGAACCCTCACACATTACTGGTGTGTAAAGTTACACTGGAATGTAAAATTATACAGTCATTTTGAAAAACAGCTTGGCAGTTCCTGAAATGGTTAAACATGGACTTACCATATGACCCAGTAATTCTACTCCTCACTGTATACCTGAGAAGTGAAAACATATATTCACACAAAATCTTGCAGACAAGTGTTCATGGCAGTATTATTTATAATAGCCAGAAAGTGGAACCAACTCAAATGTTCATCAACTCATGAACTGGATAAATAAAATGTGGTATATCATATAATGTGCTATTATTTGGCAATACAAAGTAATTAAGTTCTGTTACATGCTATGCCATAGACCCTTTAAAAACATTATGCTAAGTGAAAGAAGCCAGTCACAAAAGACCACCTATTGTACAATTCCATTTATAGAAAATGTCCAGAATAGGCAAATGTATATAAGGAGAAACTAGATTCATGGTTGCTAAGGGTTAAGGGTAGGGGCAGGGGAATGGGGAATGACTGCTGATGGGTACTAGTTGATGAAAATGTTTTAAAATTGATTGTGATGATAGTTGTGAAACAGAGTAGGAATGGAATTTAGCCTTCACCATGATTTGGCCCCCACCCCTACTAATACATTTTTTCCATACCCACCCATTACCAGACCTTGCACCACCCCATCCATTGGGGTCATCCCTGCTGACCACAAGATACCTCTTGAAACAGAGATAAGCAGCATCCCACTGTAAACCTTACTCAAGGGAGTTAGCCTTATTGCAGGCCTATGCACAAGACCAGAAGAATGGCTGATCTTTGCCCCATGCCTCATTATAATACTAAAATCCTCACCCAGGGAAGAACTTATCCATCATATTTTGATCATGCAATGTACGTGCTAGCACGATTTCTCACTGTGCCTGCACACTCTGCGCTCCACCATGCACTGTAATGACACTCCCATACCCCATGCACATTCCTGTCACCTTTCCTAAAAACACCATAAAGACCTGCCCTTGGAAAGCCAGCCAGCTAACTCTTGCTCCTGCACTGTCTCCATTGTGTTCAAACATAAGCCCCCAATAAAAGCCTTGTTTGGGAAACTTGCTCAGCCTTGTGTCAATTTCTATTACATGAGAGCCCAAGAACTTGTGGTCGGTAACAGTTGTACAACTCTGTGAATATACTAAAAGCCATTGAGTTGTACACTTTAAAGGATGAATTATATGGTATGTGAATTATATTTCCACAAAACTGTTTTTTAAAAAGATTGAGTGTTCTTGTGGCCCAACACCAAGACCAATGAAGCACTTTCCACTGTGCTTCATTGCCTTCCAGTGTATCCTCGCCTGGCTCAGCATAAATGATGGTTTATTTAATAGCAAGGAAATGGTCTACATGATCTCCTGGATCTTTTAGACCGAATGATCTATGTTTCAGTGAATCACCGGATACAGGAAATGGGAAATGGAACCATTTTTCTTAACTGATGTTGAAAGAAAAACTTTAAATAAATTCAATTTGATAAATTTAAAACTTTAGACAAATTTAAATGTAATAAAATTAAATTTAACAGAGCTTAATAGAAGAATGATTAGAGAACCAGCAGCCCTCAGAACCAGCAGAGGTTCAGACAGCTCCACTTCACAAAGTGGGCAGGCAACATTTATGGACAGGAAATGGAAATGAGGTGCAGAAAGAGTTTGATTCGTTACAGCTCAATGTCTGTTTTATTTGAATATGGTGTGGTCAGTGGACCACCTGTGATTGACCAAAGCTGGCTGCTGTGGTGGACTGAGTCTCAGCTATTGTTACAAAAATGTACTCCTAGTTAGGCTTTCAGTTAGTTTAAATACTGTTAGGTTGTGGTTCCTCACATAGGGACTCAAAGTAGAGTCCCCCAGGACAAATTTAGTTTAACGCTGGTAACTCTCTTAACAAGAAGATATTCCATTATGGATACTTCACTTCAGCTCAACTCCCAAACTCTATCACCTGCTAGCTACAAACTTTGGTCAAATTACTTGAACTCTTTTATCTTTGTTTTCTTCACACAAAAATGAGGATAATAATACCCATATCATATGGTGTTATAAGAATTTAATTATATGCAGAAAGCTCTCAGCACAGTATCTAACATGTAATAAGTGTTGAATAAATAGTTATACAATTACTGTTTATTTTATCATAATTATTTATAGTGTATAGTTTCTAATTAAGTGCTTTCCTCTTTAGAGTAGTCAAAATATTATTTATGGCTGTTTACTATTTATACTTCACAAGCCCTGTTGATGTGTGCTCTTCTTTCAATAGGTACAACATAAGAGATATGACGCAATTCTTAAGCGTTTGCATTGTCAGGTGAACAAGCTTCAGGCAAATAGACGACAGTGGCAATGGAACATTCAACAACTGGAAAAAACTGCAGCCGAATTAAGAAAATGCATTGGAATGCAAGAATAACATTGCCATAGGGCAGTGTGGAACACAGACCATGACAACAAAAATTACGGAATAGAACATTAAGAAAATCTTTTGGATTCTTAATAACAAGCATCCACTATCGGAGGCCTGTCTTAATGACAGATGTCTTTGGTGGTGGTTGTTGTCGTCGTCGTTTTTAAATCAGTCATCCATTTGTTAAAATGCCTTCTAACCCTATACTTGATAGCAGTAGACAGACAATAGGAATGCCTACAGGAAAATAGTGCAAGAGTCTCTCTGACTATTGGGAGTGTGTAAAATGTGTTATACTCATGAATACCTGTTTATGTTGCATTTGCTACCCTATAAAGTAAAAATTTAGAAGGGAAAAAACACTTGAATTTTCAATGATTTAAATTGTTAAGATATTTTCAAATGTTTGTCTGTTTCAAACTTTTTATTGGAAGTTTTTTTTTACAACTGCCTTCACAGTAGCCCATAAATATTGATATTTATAATAATGTTTTTGTACGTTCAGTGCTTCAAATATTTTACTCCATTTTCTCTTTTGTCCAGAAGGTAACAATCATTTTTCTTTGTTATAAAATAACATATTTTAGAGTGATACAATGAATAAAATATTTTCTTCACTTTTCTTTCTATAAATTATTCATATTCTGTGACTAAATTAAAGTTATCACATCATGTAACTCTTAAGAGTATTACTCAGTATAGACTAACATATTTTTTCCCACTGAAAGGCAAAATGTCAAAAATCAAATGGTAACTTGTCCGTTTCAGATAAAAGTGCTCCCCCTTTTCATGGTGCCATTGAGTCAAATACTTAGAAACAAAAACAAATAGGAAATAATGGTTTTTAAATATTCATTTGTAGGATTAAATAATTTCAAACAGACAGCATAAAAAAAAAATTTAAATCCATTTTCTCCTTACCTTTTTATGTGCCTAAAATTCAGTAAGTGGAGCTGATACAAAACCTGATATTAATAATCTTATTATATCTAACAGTAATAGTTTTATTATGGCTTAGCATGGCTTACTATGACTAACACTTCAAACAGCTTATCCTGTAACACAATCAGCTTTGATCCATGACTCAGAAACAGCTACAGTGAAAATGGTGAAACCTACAGATTGTGGGGAGTACACAGTATACTCGGCTGAAGACAAGTCAGAACCAAATACTGATTATATAAATAGATTTTAATGTAACTTGCATATTAAAAAGTTATTATACTTTGTAAGTTTAGTTATCGCTTATAAAAAATTCTAGTTTTCTAAACTGTTTTAAAGTTTATATTGGGATTCAAAACATTTGTAAATGATAACACCTTGAGTTATAGATTTGAAAGTTTGCTTTTAAATTCAGATATGAAGAAAATAGGTGTAATCTGCTTAAGATAATGTGCTCTGCTTGTAAGTTTTAGTGTAGCTTTCTAAAATATCCTTGATAATCCATATACCTATTTTACATTTTATGACAGTCAAAATTATTTGAAAAAGAAACCTTTTTTCCCTGTTTTTTCTTATCTTGGAAACTATTTCAGATAATAGAGGCTTTCAGATTAATGAAGAACTAAAATTTGAGATATCCAAAGCCTGATGATTTAGTGGATATGATATTTCAACACAATCACAAACTCTAAAATTAGAAAATTGAAGTTATTTTTAATTTTAGTTCTGTATAATTGAACCTAGCTTAGAATATGAGCCCTTTTGCTTAGTGGCATTTCACACACATGCTTCTGGTTTAAAACTCAGTCTCTTTGGGATAAATATTCGGTTCAAAATTCTCCTCTTCCTCATTTTTTTTTCTCCATGGAAGTGTTCTAAGTTCCGGCGGATTTGTGTCATCAGGGACACTGCTCTGCACCAAATGTCATTTTCTGACCTCACTGGCCTCTGCAGAGATCTAATCCATTCTTCCTGGTGTTGAGGATCATCGTGAGTCTGCGCTGTACCTGCAATTGTTTAGTCAATACGGTCAGCTTCATTGTCCAATCACAAGACCTCTTCTAGCCCTATTTCATTTTCTGTCTGTATGCTGGTCAATTTTTATCTCTTTGGGAGCTGTTATTCTACCCATGCATTCTTCCCCACTCCTTGATTTCAGTATAAATGGATTCTTTCAAGGTTCTCGGTGCTTTTAATGGCTCAGCAAAATGTCAACTCTCAAAATACCGAGTCTTCTGCAAAGGAACGCTATGATTTCAAGAATACTGTTTCTACTGTGGACTTTTTTAAAAGCCTCATATGAAACTCAAAGCAAATATATTACTTCTGAATTCTCAGTATTATCTCTCCTGACCCAGGCCTGCTAGGCACCATTACCTAAATGATCAGTAAAAGGTAACAAATGCAAGGAAACAGAGGGAGGGAAAAAAACCCACAGTTAACATCTCAAAATATTACTACATGTGCAATCTGTGGGCAAATTACAGTTGACCAATGTAAAGAAATTGATATCTACTTAAAGCCATATCTTAAAAACCATGGGAGTCACCATATTTTACACATTAAAGCCAGTTAAGTGAGCCATTATGGACACTTTCATGGCCAATATAAATGGTCTATATATTGTCTGTTAGACTGTGTCTCTTCCAGTCAATTGATTAATCATGCTGTTTTCCAAAAACACTGTAGATACGAAATAACAACACTAAACAATGATAAGGTACTGAGTATGCTGTGTCCTATTTGAAAATTTGTATACATCATTTCATTTAACTCTCAAAATAATGAAAGCATATATTATTTTCCCTGATTTGCAGATGGGGAAGCTGATGCTTAGGTAGAGTAACTTGCCTAAGATTTCATCACACAGCACGTCAGGGGCAAGGTTGAAATCAAAGCCCTATTTTAGCTACAAGGAACTACAAGAAAATGATTCCAAGGGCAAGATTCAATTTTATTATAAGTAAGTAATAATTTATTTCTACATTTAATCTATCATTTTGATATATTGAAAGGCATACAATAAATTTAATCAAGGGGAGAAATTTTGTAATTAAAAATAAATGGCACACAAATGCATAGGTAACGGTACATGAGGGTCAGGGTCAGTATAGTATTTTGGCTGTGGGAAATTGAATCCCATTTATGAAAATTGCTTTGGAACCTTTTAAAGTTTACATAGGACATTGCAACTAAAACTCTAAATTTCTATGTTATTTTACATTGAACACAGAATTCACTGTTTATCCATAAAATTTATTAAAGGACTATGTGAATACTATAGTGATTTGGAACTATTTGGGGGGGGTCAGGAATTCAGAAGAACATGGGGTTTTGATTTGTTAGTTGCTCATAGTTTAGCTTCTCATATTTTTAATATTATAAAAATTTTATTTTTCATTAACTAAGCTAATGATTACTAAAGGTAATGATCAGCAACTAAAAGTTATATGCCTGTCAAAAACAGCCCATGTTATCTGTTATTTGAATTTATAATGTATTTCTAAGGGAAGCTTTTTTTTTTTTTTTTCTGATAAAAATGGCATGTAAGGAATGGGTCTTCTATATCACATTAGCTACCATATAATACTTTCTCTTGAATATTACTGAACTATGACCAAAACCAAGAAAAATAAATTGAAACAGACACTAATAGAAAAATAGATCTATTCAATACATAGCTAAGAATAGGTCGCTCCAAATTGCTTTTTCTTTTCTGTAATGTTCTATTTAAATAATGACTGTGAGCTCTAGATCTTTAGAAAAATAAAAATAGCATATGATCTGGTAATGACAGGGTTGCTGTTTACATAATCCAGTGAAGACAGATATGAAGTAATGAGACTTCAACCTCTTAATTAATGAGATGATGTATTCCAAAAGAAAATTAGAGTTCATGTGGTAAATAGTTTTAAAAGGCTTCTTACCCACAAAGCTCTCTGGGATAAAAATCATGTCAAAAATGGAATAAAACACTTAAATTACAGATATTTGCCAGCATTACTCACTCACATAACACAAAGTAATTTAGAGACATTGACATATACTGCCAGTCTAAGATGAATTTTTAAATATTTTTTGTCCAAAATAAGTAAGTCAAGACACATCATCTACTTCATCTGCTATTGCTATCTCCCTAACATTATTTTACATGAAATAGACGTATGTAATCCCGATGCTTGTTTTGGAGAGGCTTCCTTGAGACGCTTTTGAGACTGTTTCTCCCAGAATCCATAGTGCTTCTTTGTGTATACGACACTGAAAAAAAATATAGCAAGCCTACAATTTGCATTAGTTATTTTGTCTTCAGTGACCTAGCGTTAACTAACTCATGCACAGGAATCTAAGCCAGATGTCTGGATCCCTGGGCATGACCTACACACCTACTTGGCAAATATATCACATGATTTTCTCTTCCACCTTTTCCACAGAGACTGTCTAGCCACTCTCAAGTGTCATTGTTTAAAATGAAACCTCTCTGAGAACACTTTTTTCACTTAGATGTAATATTGACTTTGCTGGGCAGTTAAATAATGTTGATAGTATTTTAATTTTAATTTGTGGTTCATACGTATAAAACATATAAAACATTCAATTCAGAAAAAGATCCGTCCTTACTCTAACCTTCCACTAATTTAGAATATTTGTCTTCTAAGCCTTTCAATCTCAATTAATCTGTCAATGTAATTTACTCATGCACAGTTTTCTAGTAATTAGTGTAATTCTCTCATGTTTCTTTCATCTCTTTTAATAAAAAAAAGCAGCTTCCTCATTCACACCTCAGCTTTTTCAGTCCCTACACAGCCATAAGTTGCACCATCTTCAAGCTCCAATTCTCATTTTTTGTGGTAACTCCAAAGCTTAGTCCAGTGGCCTCAACTTAGATCTCAGTCATTGAAAATAATCTCTTCATTTACAACTGGCTTATGCAAGAATCTATCATTTCTTTACTTTGACATGCCTCACAAAGAAAAACTTTTTGAAACATTGTGCAATAGACACAGTTACTGCTTTGCTCAAATCCTCTCAGATTTTTAAAAAATCCTTTTTGGGCAGCACTCTCCCAGTTGAGTCATGCTTTCGCCTCCAAAAACTCTCACCTAAGACTTTCTTCGGGATATTTCCTACCCTTAAAGGGACTTTCCTTGATATTGCAGCCTTTCTTGGCTTCTTTTCTCCTTACCAGTCTTGCTTCCTTTACCAATTTCTCTGAGGAAGCCTTCAATAATAAATCACTTGCTCAAGAATCTTCATCTCAGAATCTGCTTCTGGGAATCCCAAACTAAGTCACCTTACAAGATTAATCACACATGGAAATCTCTATTTTCAAGAGATGACTATTGTTCTACTCCCTGTTCCTCCCTCCTCCCTTACCCCAAATCAGTTCCACTCCCAGCAGCAGCCAAAGGAAAGACATCTAATCACTGTCCCATTCAATGTAATTTTGACATGATTTATTTGCTTTAAATAGAAAAGCAAACCAGGCCAGGCGCAGAGGCTCATGCCTGTAATCCCAGCACTTTGGGAGGCTGAGGTAGGTGGATCACTTGAGGTCAGGAGTTCAAGACCAGCCTGGCCAACATGGTGAAACCCTGCCTCTACTAAAAATACAAAAATTAGCTGGGTGTGGTGGCGCGTGCCTGCAATCCTAGCTACTCTGGAGGCTGAGGCAGAAGAAT